GGAGTTCCATCAAGCGGTGCCTAACAAGCGATAAATTTACGGTGTGCAGTTTGCATTTGAAGTATAAGACTACGTTGTTAGAGGTTCACAGACACGTTGCAGATTAGTTTAAGAAGGTGTGGTTGTGGTTAGCGACCCTAGGGCGTCTATTAAAGAGAATAAAATATTAATATAAGTCACGTGTTACACGGCGAAAGATCAAAGGAATTGTCAACTCGTAATCCAAAACAGGGAATCGCAAGCGTTTGTATTCCGTTAAACACCATACCATGAATAGGAAATTCTATTTTTCTCGTATGTTAAACCTTCAGTAGGCACAACATCAATCCAATGGTTTAAATAGATGCAGTCATTGTATTGAGCTAAAAATCTTGTTTACGTTGGGAATTAGCAGTACTATCAAATTAAAAGTTGCGACAGCAAAAGCCCAAAGTTTTTTCTAGCCTAAAATGGGGTTTGTCCGCGTGTCTTACCACAATACACTTTGTTCAGTGATGCGAACAATGCTGATAGGAAAAAATAATAACCGGCGGGAAAAGTAGCACTTTAAAAGTGCTACAGTGCTCAGAATCCAGAAGGTCTAGTACTGTCGTATCAAACGAATAATTTATCATTAATTAGATCAATGCTTATGTTTGTTATCTTGTAGGTGACATGTCGTCTATTCCAGTAAAATATCAAACATATGGATGTATGCTGGTACTGAAATTTAATGGTTGTAGAGGTTTTTCCCGCAGTCCCATTTTGACAATTTCTATAGGTCGTAAATGTTGATGTTACGGGTAAGTCAAACCGTTTTGGGTGGGTTTCACTAGACCGGCTGACTTTCACTTTAAGAGTGAACGTTTCCTTTAACGAATGATATAAGGGTCTAGTGACTAATCATGTATGTCTTCGTCAGAAGCGAGAATTTCGCGCCTTTGCGCTAGCTGTTTTGCTTTTTCAAGGATATTATTTCATTTATTATATTATGTGTAGAAAGTAATCCTTTAAAACAGTCGTCATGGAAAATATGACGTGGCAGAATTGGGCTGATGAAGCTTTGTCCGGCTGCTACATAATGCTGTGCTCCTTTTACGCGTGGAAAGTCATCCAAAATAACATTTTTTTATTATATTGTGACCCTTTGCAAAACCTTTTGACCGCAACCGAAACATATTCCACCACGTGCCCCGGTTTGATAACCTGGCTGAATGAGCATGCACCAGACTATAACCACTTAGATTTCGCCAAGATTTAAAACCTTTGCGTTCAACCAAGCCCCGCTATGTCTCCAATCTCATTTTCCGTCGGTTGTGGGTAATTAAAAGAAAGTAATCGTTCATGCTCGGCGCTACTTGGTGTAGCTTGAGAATATGGTTAATAATCGGCCATGCGTGTGTTCAAAAACATGCATACACCACGCTCACGGCCTAGAACATGCAATTCAGAAGGTTTTTGGCACAGTAAATGTGCGCAAGCATGAGATGTACATTAATTACAACTTCGACCGCCAAGAAATTTTCGAGAGAGACGGCTGCTTTTTTTGTGGATTATCGGATTATAAAGTATGTTGTTATTCTTTGACATACATTGACACACATTCACGCAAAGTACAGAAATAGAAATAACTTAAGGGTGAGAACTCCCCTGCTAAAAACATTAAGTTATTGACGCAAACCCAAAGATTTTCTCAAAAAGTTAACACCTCAGCTGGTCCTTAAACAAGCACTTTTTATCAATCTATGTGATTATCTTGCATACACCTGTTTTCAGTATTCAGGGGCTACTCTTTACCCTGCATTGAGATAAGCAATCAAGTATCAGTTGCTTAGGTCGATTTCTAATTCAGCAGCAATGGACTATCAAATAAAACCTACCAGCGAAAGTGTTATTCTATCTCTAATTCTTAAGCCACAGCCACCACCAGTGGAAGCCTTGTACAAGCAGTTTAAAAGAGTTGTCTGCAACTCGATGTTCTTAGAGCCACGCAAAGCCATAAGTTACTTAAGGCGTCTGATTGTGCAAATTCAGTTAGTCTTACGTCAAAATTCAATTTCTGTACTGGACGGTCAGCCCCCCGGTGTGGTAGGAGAGCCCTCTCCAAATTGAGTGGTCATCTTTCGAGACAGACGGTGTCCCCCGAGGTCCCTATGGCCATTCACCCAACTCTGCTAATTTCTGATATCCATAGGACCGACTGATAGAGCCGTGACAACGATCCTTGCCAACTGTTTGGAGAAGACCTTCAAGCTCGTCCACCGGGTGGTTGTTGATGTCATTGGACCCCTACCAGAGACCAGAAAAGGTAACCGTTTCATTGTTGTCATGGTCGACTACTTAAATGAATGGTGTGAAGCTGTGCTTGTGAAGCAACAAGATACCCGTACGATTGCGTCGGTGATAATCTCTGAGTGGATATACCGCTAGTGGTACCAGCCATTCTCCACTCTGATCAGGGCCCATCTTTGAGAGCCACTTGCTGCGGGAAATATGTGCATTACTGGGGATCCATAAAACGAGGACAACACCGTACCACTCAGAGGGGAAAGGTCTGGTGGAACGCACCAACAAGATCATAAAGAAGATACTAACTACCCTTGTGGATCGCTATGAAGAGGAAAGGTGGGACGAACACATTCCGCTATGTATGCTGGCCTATCGAGCAACTACACACGAGTCGACAGGTTATGCACCGGCATCTTTACAACTCGGCCACGACCTCCGACTACCTTTAGACGCAGACACGCCTGTGGTTCCTGCAGACCTGTTTGGCGGTAACGAATACGCCCGGTCACTCCGAGAACGCCCGTCCGCTGCACTACAATACGCACGTGAAAACATCGGACATGCACAGCAACACCAGAAAACTGTATACGACCGCAAATCATGCGGACCTTTGAACGAAGTAGGCGACTATGTGCTTCTACACCGCCCGAAACCACTACCGGGTGCGCCAGCAAAATTCCATCACATGTGGTAGAGACCTTATGTTATCGTTATTAAGAGGTCAAATAACACCTGTCATTCGTGACCATTCTAACCCACATAAGGATGTACAGTGTGTACATTACAGTCAGTTAAAGCCCTACCCTTCACTCCGTGCTGGCACCAAGCCGTCTACGTCTTCCTATCCCCCACCTGTCAGCCATACTGTTGAGATCAGTACATCCGACACGAATACGGCTTCTGAGCACTGAGGACAGTGCTCATACTCGGGAGGGGGCAATGCAACGCAGTTGAAACTCGGCTGTATCTGCATGCACGTTTATCACATGAGCTTATGTGTCTCCCCCCTCTCTCTCCCGATTGCAGGTACCATGGTCGAACTACCACGAGCCCCGGATAAGAAAGAGTACCCGCTTGTACACCCACTACTGACATTGACCTAGCTTTTGTACTCCCGACTTCCGGTTTCGGTTTCGGTTGAATACACGTGTGTCATCACCACGCTCCGGTGTTCTCTTCTGACGCGCCCGACTTGTGCGCATGTGTGCTGTGTATACCGTGTGAACTCATTAATACCAGTCCGTATATCTGCACATTTCAGAACCGACGTGTACCGTCGCTACATCCTCTCGAACATCGAATACCGCTGACTTCCTGACGTCCCACGCTTGAGGTGCTTGAGGTGGGGTAAAAAAGAAAAACAAAGCAGAAATGGATCAGAAAGGCGAGTGGTCATTACGTGACGTAATTATTTGTTTTCCTATTCCTCAGGCTAGTTCATCACCCTTCTGTGACAGCTCAAGTTTCAAGACTGAACCGTTCTATCTTATACAAAGCTGACTCTCCCTCAACCATTTCTATAGACGATTCGTTACCATTTATTTTTGGACTTGTTGTTGAAATTTCGTCCCACTTTGAACTGAAAGATGGACTGTCAGTGCAAGCGAGGAAATAGCATGGAACAATTTTATTAAATTATTGCAGGAGACCTCTGCTTCTCCGCGTGAAATACGTGCCATAGGACGTTTATAAAACAAAAAATCTCAACATCACAGAATGTATCCGCGAACCTTAACGTATCCATCGAACTGGCTTTTTCCACACAACCTTGTTCTGACTATCCACATCATTTCTTCCAACTAAAGCTTGGGAGGAACTCGACATTTGTTATTTCCGGAAATCTCGATTCAAACTTAACTATAGTCATGGATATGTAACCATATTTGGAAGTTCGCACTCAGAACGTTAGGTTACTTTTATCTTGGTGGACCATATTTTCCTGCTATATGACTCAGCAAAAGCAGTAGCATCCTATGAACCAACACGTTAACCGGAAAAGTCGAAAAGGTGTCGAGCGACGTCGCCCGGACTTCAACCGCGAGCCAGCAGGGGCGCTACCCAGGCTTACACCTCTCAGCCAAATTTCTCTTGAGCAGCTGAGCCTCGTACGCAGTGGTTGTACGTTTAGTTAGGGATCACGTGACTAGGTCCAGCCAATCATTTGCTTCAGTTTGGTTTGTGCATGAATCGACTTCCGATAAAGTGCGAAATCAAATATTATGTAGCGTGGGACGTCAGGAAGTCAGCGGTATTCGACGTTCGAGAGGATGTAGCGACAGCACACGTCAGTTGTGAAATGTGCAGATATACGGACTGGTATTAATGAATCCACACAGTATACACAGCACACATGCGCACAGTTCGGGCGGTACAGGGGAGAAGACCGGAGTGTAGCAACAACGCACGTGCTTTAACCCGAACGGAAACCGGAAGACGGGTAAGAGGTCGGTCAAGGTCATTCCGGGGGGTTGTAAAGGCGGTTATTCTTTCCTGTCCGGGGCTCGTGGTGGTCCGACCATGGTACCTACAACAGGGAGAGAGGGGGGGAGAGACACATAAGTTCATGTGATAGACATGCATGCAGATACGGTCGAGTTTCAACTGCGTTACATTGCCCCCTCCCGAGTCCGAGCACTGTCCTCAGTGCTCAGAAGGTGTTTGTGTCAGAAGTAGTGATCTCAACCGTATGGTTGACAGGTGGCAGCTAGTGGGACGCTGACGGCTGGGCGTCATTACGAGGTTGGCGGAATGTTTTTTTGAATGGTTGTAATGTACGCATTGCGCATCAGTATGCGGCTGAGATGGGTTACGGATGGTCTTTTCATAATAATAACATAAGGGCCCTGCGACGGCTGGTGGAATTTTGGCAGTGCACCCGGCGGTGATTTCGGGCGATGTAAGAACACATGGTCACCCACTTCATACACAGGTCCGTTTAATCTGCGGTCGTATACAGCCTTTTGGTGCTGCTGAGCACGTCCGATGTTTTCGCGAGCGATTAGCAGTGCGGCGAACGGACGTTCGCGGAGCGATCGGACGTACTCGTTGCTGCCAACGAGGTTTGCCGGGGCCACGGGCGTCTGCGTCAGAAAGCAGTCGAAGGTTGTGGCCGAGTTGTAGAAATACCGGCGCATAACCTGTCGATACGTGTACAGCCACACGATAAGGCAGCATGCACAGGGGGATGTGTTCGTCCCACCTTTCCTCTTCATAGCGATCCACAAGGGTAGTTAGTATCTTCTTTATGATCTTGTTGGTGCGTTCCACCAGACCTTTCCCCTCTGAGTGGTACGGTGTTGTCCTCGTTTTATGGATCCCCAGTAATGCACATATTTCCCGCAGCAAGTGGCTCTCAAAGATGGGCCCTGATCAGAGTGGAGAATGGCTGGTACCACTAGCGGTATATCCACTCAGAGATTATCACCGACGCAATCGTACGGGTATCTTGTTGCTTCACAAGCACAGCTTCACACCATTCATTTAAGTAGTCGACCATGACAACAATGAAACGGTTACCTTTTCTGGTCTCTGGTAGGGGTCCAATGACATCAACAACCACCCGGTGGACGAGCTTGAAGGTCTTCTCCAAACAGTTGGCAAGGATCGTTGTCACGGCTCTATCAGTCGGTCCTATGGATATCAGAAATTAGCAGAGTTGGGTGAATGGCCATAGGGACCTCGGGGGACACCGTCTGTCTCGAAAGATGACCACTCAATTTGGAGAGGGCTCTCCTACCACACCGGGGGGCTGACCGTCCAGTACAGAAATTGAATTTTGACGTAAGACTAACTGAATTTGCACAATCAGACGCCTTAAGTAACTTATGGCTTTGCGTGGCTCTAAGAACATCGAGTTGCAGACAACTCTTTTAAACTGCTTGTACAAGGCTTCCACTGGTGGTGGCGTCTGGCGCCCGGGCGATAGATGCAAGAGTAACCATACTCTTGATTCCAATATTGCCAACGTCCTACTTGACCGTCGGGGTCGCGGAAACTCTGTAACCATTGTAGTGAGTGATGGTCTGTCCGAACAAGGAAGCGCCTGCCGAGCAAGTAGGGCCGGAAGTGGTGGAGAAAGTACACGAGGGCAAGCATTTAACTTAGAGTTGTTGCACCACGCGACGTGAAATGCTTCCCCGGTATTGTTCGAAGTGGTGGAGTACACGAGGGCAAGCATTTAACTTAGAGTTGTTGCACCACGCGACGCGAAATGCTTCCCCGGTATTGTTCTTTCTTCCTTCCCGTCAAACTCTTCTCTTATCTGTTGCTGTCTGCTACATCTATTCCATTGATTCTATTTACATTATTTAACCCCTCAAGCACTTTAGCCCTTGGATGGCCGGAACAGTTTGGTCGGCCATTCTTTACGCGGGCTTTTTGGCCTATTTGCATTACCTCGTGGCATACCGCTGCGAAGAGAAGAGTCCCCCGAAACGGTACCCAACCCCCAGTGCATTTGCCGAAAGACCACTGTCAGTGTTCCGCTTTGATCGGGATACTCGACGCGAAATTAAAGCGTCTTTTGAAGGCATTGGAGGACTCAGGCGCTAAGAATGCAGCGACCTGGGCGAAAGTCGACAAGGAACTTTCCTCGCTGAACGAATACCTCGCGATGTCCATACCGGGTCCCATGGCTGCGAAGAAAGTCATACAACTTTCTGACGCGGCTATAAAAACCGCCACAGCGTCTCTAGTGGACAGACGCCTAAGGTAAAACAGGCTGATAATCTGGTGGTCATTCTGCGGAAAAATCACGCCAGTGAAGCTGGCACAGTCGATCCTCAGCAAGCCTGATAAATCGCTCCACGCAAAATGGCTACGCCAGAAGGGAAGTAAGCGAACCCTTAGACTTCTAGTCACTCTTTCTTCCAGGAAAACTTGGAGCGGGCTGGTGGCATTCAAAAGGCCAACCCAATGATCAGGCGCCTATCTGAGGATCGCCCTCTAGACGCGCGCAAGCTTGGTCACAACAGGTCAGGAGTGGAAGCACGAAACAGGCTTCCGCCGGGCACTAAACCAGACGACCCCAAACTCATGATCAAGCCGATTGCGCTCATATCCCCCTGTGCTCCCGAAAGCAGGCCGACGAAACCAGCTGGT